AGGACCATATCATTAATAAGTAGAGACATGAAAAGCCTTTAAAAACATTAGTAAATAAAATCTTGTAAAATATGGAAAGATAATCAGATGAAGTAGACTTTATCCCAGGGTTGCAGGCCTGTTTTAACATTTTGAAAATTATTCAGTATAATTCATCATATTACAAAAAATAAAAAGAAGAAAAAAAAGTGACATAGTATCTCAGATTTTTTAAAAACTCAGCAAACTAATTATAGGATGGTATGAAAAAAACTCGTAGCTGAAGTCATACTTAATGGCAAAATAGTGAATGCTTCCTCCCAAGACTGGAGGTGAAGTGCAAGAACATCCACTCGGCACTTCAGGTCGCCTCTATGTGGGAGTACAGAGAGGCAAAAGAAGCAAGCAGACCTCAAAGAACGATGTATAGAAAGGAAGAAGTAAAATGACTTCTGTTTATAGGCAATAAGGTTATATAAATACAAAGACCTAAGGTTTTACAAAAAAGGAAAAACACAATGGAACTCATAGGTGACTGTAACAGAAATAGAGTGTACGTCCAGTATACAGAAATTAGTTGTCTTCATTCTAACTGAAAGCAATTGAATAGTGAAATTTAAAATATCATCAAAAATAAAATATTTTCTACAAAGTTTAAGGAAAAATGTGTAAAACCTCTACAATGGAGACTACAAAACAATGTAGAGGAAATTTTAGAGTAAGTAAATGTAAGAGATATATGTGCTTATGAATTGGAATGTTCAATGTTGTTAAGCTGTCAGTACACAAATTGACAAGTAAATTCAATGCAGTTCTAACATAACTCTAGCTGACTTAGAAAAAAATTTGGTTAAACTGATTCTAAAACGTATATGGAAAAACAAAAGACCTAGAAGAGCCTAGACATTCTTATAGTTGACATTGATGCTCCTTGAAAACACATGGTAAGTGAAAGAAGCCAATTACAAATAGGGTGTGATTCCATTTATCTGACAAGTGCAGAATAAGCAAATACGGAGACAGGAAGTAGATGAGTGGCTGTCTGTGGCTAGAAGAAGGGGTAGACAGGCAGTGTCTGCTAATGGGTCTGGGCTTCTTTTGGGAATGATGAAAGTCTTCTGTAATTAAGTGGTAATGATTATTGCAAACTCTGTGAATAGCTGAAAATAAACTGAAGTGTGCACTCTACAAGGGCTCATTTTGTAGTATTGGATATACATCAATAAAATTACAGTTACTGAGGGTCAGCATGACATAGCAGGTAAAGCTGCCATCTGCAGCGCCTGCATCCCAGGTGGGCACCAACTTGTGTCCCAGCTGCTCCACTTCAGATCCAGCTCCCTGCTAATGGCCTGGGAAAATAGCAGAAGAGGGCCCAAGTGCTTGGATCAGTGCTATCACATAGGAGACCCAGAAGAAGCTCCTGGCTTTAGCCTGGCCCAGCCTGGCCATTGAGACCATCTGGGGAGTGAACCAGTGGATGGAAGATTATCTGTGTCTCTCCCTCTCTTTCTCTAACTCTGCTTTTCAAATAAATCAATAAATCTCTCCTTTTTTTAAGATTGACTTATTTATTTGAAAGTCAGAGTTAGACTAGTTCAGGAGCTTCTTCCAGGTCTCCCATGTGGGTGGCAGGGATCCAAGCACTTGAGCCAACCTCCGCCGTTTTCCCAGATACATTAGCAGGGAGCTAAATTGGAAGTGGAGCAGCTAGGACCCAAACCAGACCCACGTGGGATGCCGGCGCTGCAGACGGCAGCTTAACCCTTTGAGCCACAGCACCAGCCCCATAAATAAATCTTAAAAAAAAACTACAGTTACTGAACTTGCACTGATTTCAAGTTACAGCAGTCACTAGAGTTTGATATCGGCGTAAGGACAGAGAAGTACATCAGTATAACAAGACGAGGCCAGAAACAAATGTGTGGTCAGTTGGTTTTTGACAAAGGCACCGCAGCTTTTTAGGAAGAAAGGATAGCCTTTCACAGATGGTGCTCAGACAACTGTATAAACTTATGGGAGAAAATCCCCTAGATTCCTGCTGTGTATCTCACAATAATTAATTCAAGATGGGTCCCAGCCTTAAATGTAAAATGTGAAAAGTCCTTAAGTCTTCTGGAAGCAAGCAGGAAGAGATCTTCACGACCGTAGGTGAGATTGTTTCATGGGAAACAAAACATAGTAACCATGAAATTTAAAAATCAATAAAGTAGACTTCATCAAAGGAAAAAATTTATGCTCATCAGGAGAAACCTAAGAAAATGAAAAACTAGTCTTAGCGTGGAATGTAATATTCTCAGAAGATATATCTGATAAATAAGTAAAATACTTATAAATCAATAAAAAGATAATCCACATTGTAAAATGAATGGACATTTCATGAAAGACCTAGGACTGGCCAGTAAGCACATTGAAAGGTATTCAATAGAACTGGTCATCAGGAAACACAATTAAGACCGTGAGGAGCTGCCGTCTCTAGAATGGTATGAATGAAATGTTGGAGAGGACAGGAACAAATGGGCCTCCCATACTCTATTGGAAGGAATGTAAAGTAATAAGATCTCTTTAGAAAGCGGTTTGGCAATTTCTTCAAAAACTAAACATACGCCTTTCAGACAATGCAGCCATTCCATCTAAAGTGTCTACCCTGAAGAAGTGAGCCAGGTGTCCATAGAGAGACACTAATGTTCACAGCAGCTTTATTCTTTTTTTTTTTTTTTTTTTTTTTTTTTTGACAGGCAGAGTTAGTGAGAGAGAGACAGAGAGAAAGGTCTTCCTTCCGTTGGTTCACCCCCCAAATGGCCGCTACAGCTGGCGATGCGCCGATCCGAAGCCAGGAGCCAGGTGCTTCCTCCTGGTCTCCCATGCGGTCCCTGGGCCATCCTCCACTGCCTTCCCCGGCCACAGCAGACAGCTGGACTGGAAGAGGAGCAACCGGGACAGAATCCGGCGCCCCATCCCGCACTAGAACTCAGAGTACCAGTGCCACAGGCGGAGGATTAGCCTAGTGAGCTGCGGCGCCAGCCAGCAGCTTTATTCTTAATAGTCCAAAACAGGAAATAACACAAATGCCCATTAACAGGTGCATGGAAAAACTAGTTGGTTGGGCTGGCGCCATGGCTCACTAGGCTAATCCTCCACCTAGCGGCGCCAGCACACCGGGTTCTAGTCCCAGTCAGGGCGCCAGATTCTGTCCCGGTTGCCCCTCTTCCAGGCCAGCTCTCTGCTGTGGCCAGGGAGTGCAGTGGAGGATGGCCCAAGTGCTTGGGCCCTGCACCCCATGGGAGACCAGGAGAAGCACCTGGCTCCTGCCATCGGATCAGCGCGGTGCACCAGCCGCAGCGCGCTGGCCACAGTGGCCATTGGAGGGTGAACCAACAGCAAAGGAAGACCTTTCTGTCTCTCTCTCTCACTGTCCACTCTTCCTGTCAAAAAATTATAAAAAAATTAAAAAAAAAAATAAAAGAACTAGTTGGTGTATCCGTGCAGTGGAGTACTGTCATTAATGAAAAAGTGACCAGCGACAGCATGAGTGAATCTCAGAAAGCTCCTGTTGCACAGAAGGAGCCAAGTCCAGAATAACACAGAGTCCGTAGATTGTGGCGTCCTGTGTGAAGTCCCAAACACTCAGGGCAAGCTGAGCTGATCTCCTGGGGGAGTCGTCCAGAAAGGAACAGAAGCTTCTGAGGTGATGGAGGTGTTGATGTAGTTACACAAGTGTATGTGTATCACATCTCCTCAGACTTAGAATGTGTCTATTTTACTGCATATATATATATATATATATATTCTTTAATGTTAAAGTGCAATGAGTTGCCCTGCAAGAGAAAAAAATTTTTTTAAATACCGTGGAACCTCCTCACATCCACAAAGCTTTCTTTTTTAGATTTACTTATTTACATGAGAGGCAGAGTTGCAGACAAAGAGGGGGGAGAGAGAGAGAGAGAGAGAGAGAGAGAGAGAGAGATGTTCCATCCACTGGTCCACTCCCCAGATGGCCGCAATGGCCAGGGCTGGGCCAATCTGAAGCCAGGAGCAAGGAGCTTCTTCCAGGTCTCCCATGCCCCATTTTCCACTGCTCTCCCAGGCCATCAGGGGAGAGGTAGATCAGAAGAGGAGCAGCCGGGTCTTGAACTGGTACCATATGGGATTCCAGTGCTGCAGGCGGAGGCTTAACCTACTATGCCACAGTGCTGGCCCCAAGAGAAATGTTGAGATTTAAATCCCGTGGAACCATTTTTAGTGGAAGAGCCTTAATTTGGTTCATTCTACAGTGACTGCAGCTGTTGTCATAATTGTACCTGTTGCCCTTGTTTATGCTGATGTAATAGTTGCAGGTTATTATAATAACAAAAGTGAATACTTAGCATAGACTTGTGTCTGGCACTTTGTCCATGCTGACTTGGTTAAGGTTCCCCAGAAGTCCTTGAGGCCGGCCCTGCTGTCCTCTCTGTGATTGGGAACAGTGAGTCACAGAAGTTCATGGCTTTGCCCCTGGCTGTATAGGCAGAGCTGGAATTCTGCATGAGGCCGTCCACTTTCAGGACCTAAACTCTTAACCTCTGTTTCACTTAAACTGCAACAGAAAGAACAGCTTTGGGCAGATATGAAGAAAAATTTTCTCTTCCTTATTTATGCCATAAGCACATTCCAGCAATTTCTACATGTTTTAGTCTTGAATATAATACTGTGAGTCCTATAGATATTTCCATCTAAACTTTAAAATGTATTGAAATTAATGAAAAGTGTGTGTATGCTTGTGCAAGCTCTTCTAAGACTCACATTCAAACCAGCAACTTGAAGACCCGGGAGTTCCAGCAGTGGTCAGAATCTGTGAGCTTTTTCCATACTTCTTTCCTGCATTTCCAAGAGGTCTGTTAAAGCCAGCACCCTGCCCAGAGTTTCCACTATTAGCTCCTTTAGAAACGGAATGTAATATTTTCCTTACTGAGTTAGTCTGAAGCTATAAAGGAAAACATTTTATAATTTTTAACGTCTCTCTGTAATATTTCTCCTTGTAGCTGAAGGAATAAAATTGAGAGCCTCAAAAACAGTTTCCAATGGAACAGCTAAACCTGCTACTTCTGATAACTTTGTGAGTATATGCATTTTTAAAAGAATCTAAGTCCTCGATGCTTTTGAAATCTGTGTGAATGCCATATTCACTGACTTGTCAGGCGAGCCGTTTTTACTAAGGTTTCTTTGGTACGATCACGTGTGTTACCTCGCAGCCACACTGGACAAGTCCCGTGGCCGTCCTGTTACTGTGCTTTGGCCAACAGCACGAGCGTCCTCCAGGAACTTGTTGGGATGCAGAATCTCAGGCTATCCAGACCTACTGGATGAGACTCTGCTTTCTGACAAGGTTCCGGAGGTGATCCGTGTGCACGTTTAAGGACTGAGGAGCTTCCTTTGTGGCTTTTCAGCAGGTGGAAGTGATTTTTGAAGGATTTTAAAATAACATTTGTTATCTGTTGGGAAAAGGACTTCATGTGTTACCTCTGCAGTTACTAAAATGAACAGGTATATGATAGGGGCACTATAGAAGCTTGAATAAAATAGTAAAATACAGGGCAGGGGTGGATTTTTAAATATTTTATGCGTATTGTTTATGCATGAAAGTAGTAATTATGAAGGTAGGCAAAATGGAAATGTCTATCATACAGGTTTTTAAAATTACCTTTGAGAGAGAGAAGACTCCTATCCACTATTTCACTCTCCAGATTCCTGCAGCAGCCAGGAGAAGTGGACACTGAAACCAGGTGTCTAGATTCAGTCTGGGTCTCCCATGTGGTGGCGGGGATTCAAGTACTTGAGCCATCAGCTGCTGCCCGCAGGGTGAGCATTAGTAGGAAGCTGGAGTCAGAGTGGAGCTGGGACTCAAACGCGAGCACTCTGAATGAGACGCAGGCATCTTAACCAGCAACTTAACTGCTGGGCAAACCCTGCCCCCCCCCCCATCATACAGCGTGCTGTGATGATTAGCATTACATAAAAATGTAGGTGCACGTGAGTTCTGATCGGACAAGTGATATATGAAAACATTGCTATCTATTGTATCTGGTAAATTCCCTAGCTTTTATTTTTGGTAATATAAAATTATTTAGATTGTGTTTTTTGAGTACTTTTAATGATAATATAATTAAACTTTAAAAAATTTTAGCAGTTTTAATTATGTGACGTTAGAGCTATACATTTAATTTGTTAGATATTTTTCTCCTATTTTTTTTTAATATTTATTTATTTATTTGAAAGTCAGAGTTACACAGAGAGAAGGAGAGGCAGAGAGAGGTCTTCCATCCACTGGTTCACTCCCCAGTGGCTGCAACGGCCGGAGCTGCACCAATCCAGAGCCAGGAGCCAGGAGTTTCCTCCAGGTCTCCCATGTGGCTACAGGAGCCCAAGGACTTGGGCCATCTTCTACTGCTTTCCCAGGCCATAGCAGGGAGCTGGATCGGAAGTGGAGCAGCTGGGACTCGAACCAGCACCCATATGGGATGCTGGCACTACAGGCAACCGCTATGCCACAGCGCCAGCCCCTTTTCTCCTATTTTAGTGATAATGTCATGGGAGTACTTTTTCATTTTCCTAAATTAAATATAGTCATATATTGATAAGAAGTTGGGGTCTGTGTCTTTTGTTGACTTATTTCTACCTGAGACCTACAGAGAATTAGGATTCCTGTTAATACTGGCTGAGTTACCTTGTCTCCCTCTGGGCAAGCAAAATGTAATGAATCCTAGAACCAGGGCATTCCATATAGCCAGGTAGACAATAAAGAAATTTTGAAATTTATTTTATCATAGCAACCAAAGTATTCAGTGTACCATAGAGTTTACTTTCTCCCAGCGTAATAATAAGTGCTTGAGTCAAGTTTTTATTTGAAAGGGTTTGAAACAAACTCCTCCTCCCTCTGTTTTGTAGGGAGATGAGCATAAATACAAGTGATAGAAATAAAAAGATGCTCTAAAGTTGGTTGGAATATTTGTATCGTTTATTTCTATTAAGAAATTATAAAACTCAAAAACTTGAACAAATTAGGGGTCCTAGAGATTAAGGAAGCAAAACATCAGTACAAGTCAGTACTCTTGCTATTTTCTGTCTTATACATCAACTCTGTTTCTGCTGTGGTTTCCCAGGACAAAAAATAACACCTGTGCATGTAACGCCAAGAAGTAGAAAAATCTGAAATCCAGCTTTTGTTTGCCTGGTTAAGAAAACACTGGCATAATTACTATGTGACATAAATGCCACCTTTTTTTTTTTTTTTTAAGATTTATTTATTTGAAAGAGTTACAGAGAGAGGTAGAGACACAGAGAGAGAGGTCTTCCATCCACTGGTTCACTCCCTGAATGGCCACAATGGCTGGAGCTGACCCAGAGCCTCTTCCAGGTCTCCCACGTGGGTGCAGGGGCCCAGCACTTGAGTCACCCTGTGCTGCTTTCCCAGATGCATTAGTAGGGAACTAAATCAGAAGTAGAGCAGCTGGGACTCAAACCAGTACCCATATGGGATGCCAGCGCTGCAAGCCAGGGCTTTAACCCACTGCACCACAGCACCGGCCCCAAATGTCAACCTTTTAAGACATATGTAGCAACAAATAAGATGTCATGCTTTTGAACTTGAATACTTAACATTTTATGTGCATTCTATTGAAAGGTTTGCTTTCGGATGATATTAAGCCAATACTAAATATATTTATTTCGACAGGATGAAGATTTGAAGTGGGTAGAAGAAAATATTCCCTCTTCATTCACAGATGTGTAAGTATCTTCTGTTCATGTCTGAGCCTAGAATTTAGGCTGTAGATTAAAGGGCTGGTTCTCCACCTCCCATTCTTGTAGGCCCTCTTCACCAGGGAATGACCAAACTGCTTCTTAGGGAACGCCATAGAAAGTGACCACGCCCTGGATCAGATGTTCTTTCTCCATCTTTTGCACTGGACAACAACCATTTTAATACTAGTGGCCTAGAGCCAACTCTTGCTTTATTTGATCTACAGTTTTCAAGGTCATTTTATTTTAATCTTCTAATATAAAACATGCAAATCTTCATTTTTTAACTTGTGTAACCACGGTGTATTCCGGGGAAGCTTTCGGAGGAAACACGTGAGCATGGGGAAGTAGACTGCATAGGAGCAGCCTCAGGGAACCCTGGGCTCTTCAGGTTCCTGTTTACCTTTGTTCTTTTAACACACTACGTGTTTTTGACGTAGTTAAAGATATAACAGACAAATATGGTGCTGTTTTCACATATTGTTCTGTTGTCATAGCTTTAACTGTAGATTGTGTCAGGTTTTAAAAAAATGTTTATTCATTTTTATTTATTTGAAAGAGCAGCAGAGAGGGAGGGAGGGAGAGAGATCTATGTACTGGTTCACTCCCTGCAAATGCCTGCATAGCTGGGAGGAAGCCAGGCGCCTGGAGCTCCATCCAGGTCTCCCACGTGGGTGGCAGGGACCCAAGTACTTGGGCCATCATCTGCTGCCTCCCAAGCACAGTCGCAGGAAGCTGGACCTGCAGTGGAGGAGACGCTTGATCCCAGGCACTCTGGTATGAGATGTGGGCATCCCAAGCAGCAGCACCTGCTTGTGTTGTTTTTGTTTGTTTAGGTTTATTTATTTATTTGAAAGGGAAATTTACAGAGAGAGAAGGAGAGACAAATCTTCTATCTGCTGCAACTGCCAGGGCTGTGCCAGGAACCAGGAGCTTCATCTGGGTCTCCCACTTGGTGACAGGGGCCCACGCACTTGAGCCATCTTCCGCTGCTTTCCCAGGCGTATTAACAGGGAACTGGATTGAAAGTGGAGCAGCTGGGACTCGAAACAGCACCCATATGGGATGCCAGCACTACAGGCTGCAGCTTAACCTGCTGGGCCACAGCACCAGTCCCACTATGTCAGTTTTTTAAATTATTTATTTGGGAGGCAGAAGTAGAGAAAGAAAGAGCAGGCTTCCATTTGTTAACTCTCTGTGGGCCTGCAATAGTGGAGACTGGGCCAGGCTGAAGCTGGGAGGTGAGAGCTTGAGCCAGGTTTCCCAGGTGGGTGACAGGGACCCAGCTACTGAGCCAGGCCTGGAACCCAGCACTCAGATAAGGAATGTGGGCCTCCCCCAGTAGCATCTAACTGCCAAGCCAAATGCCCAGCCCCTTTAAAGATAAAATTATTTGTTTGAGAGAAAGATGGAAAGAGCAGTTTTTAAAATGTTACCCCTCCGTAGTATATCATTTTTCTTTGTTATGTAGTTTTTCAGTGTATGAACATATCAGAGTTTATCCATTTGAATGAGTTCAGTTCAGGAGTGTTGAGCATGGCGCACTGTGCGAATCTTTCTCTCTGTCTGCCGGGGAGGCCAGGTGTTCCCCTTCTTTCAGCTGTAGCCAGGAGGGAGGGTTGGCAGACCCTGGAGCACACCTCTGTTCACCTTTGTAAATCCACTGGCGTTATTGTTAATAACATTGTCAACTTTTCCCCTTTTATTTCAGAGCCCTTCCAGTGTTAGTGGATTCAGATGAGGTAAAGCATAATTTTGCTTATTTCCTTGAAGCTGTTACATCCACAAAGAAGAAATATTTTTCAGAAAGAAATTCTGAAACTTACTTTTTCAAATGATCAGGAGCGTATGGAAGAACACTACAAATTGATTTGTGGGTAGAGATGCAAGGATTTGGGGTTAAATCCTCATTTCAGACAGAAGCAGGAGAAATGCTTACTGAGGCAGAAAAGGGAAGGATTGCTTTATGCAATCTTGAATCTATGTAATTTTTTTTATTTTTAAAAGATTTATTTATTTATTTATTTGAAAGAGTGAGAGAGAGAGACAGAGGAGAGATTTTATTTATTTATTTGAGAGGTAGAGTTACAGACGAAGAGAAGGAGAGACAGAGAGAGGTCTTCTATCTGCTGGTTCACTCCCCAGATGGCCACAACAACTGGAGCCTGGCCAGTCCAGGCAGAAGCCAGGATCCAGGAACTTTTTCCAGGTCTCCCACGTGGATGCAAGGGCCCAAGCACTTGAGCCATCTTCTACTGCTCTCCTAGCCCCATTAGCAGGGAGATGGTTTGGAAGTGGAGCAGCCAGGACTCAAACCAGTACACATGTGGGATGCTGGCACTGCAGATGGTGGCATAACCTGCTATGCCACAGTGCTGGCCCCGAATCTGTAATTTTCTTTTTCCTTATTTTTTTTTTAAGATTTACATATTTATTTGAAAGTCAGAGTTACACAGAGAGAGAGGTCTTCCATCTACTGGTTCACTCCCCAATTGGCCACAATGGCTGGAGCTGCGCCAATCCAAAGTCAGGAGCCAGGAGCTTCTTCTGGGTCTCCCACGTGGATGCAGGGGCCCAAGGACTTGGGCCATCTTCTACTGCTTTCCCAGGCCACAGCAGAGAGCTAGGTCAGAAGTGGAACAGCTGGGACTCAGACCAGCGCCCATATGGGATGCTGGCACTACAGATGGCGGCTTTACCCAAACCACTGCCCTCCCAAATCTGTAATTTTCTAAAATTTGTGTGTGCAGTGAGGAGTATTGAAGATTAAGATGGCAGTTTGTCTAAATCTGATCCTTGCAGATATTTCGTTGATATAGTAAGTGAAGTTTCTATTTCATTTTCATTTTCTAAGCAGGAGATTTGAACACAGGATGTAGATGTAGATTTTCTTTTTTTCTTTTTCTGTTTTTGGACAAATGATGTTGAAGGTGGCTCCAGGCCAGGAGTGTGGTGTGCGACAATTAGGGCATGGCTGTGTGGAACCTTAGTCACAAAGGGGGAACAGAGGGGCTCGGAGGCGCCTGAGCCCTGATTCCGTGCTGTCCGTGGAGTCCAGGAGCAGCTGGCACTCTGTGGGATGCCCTGGGAGTGGCGTGGGCACCGCTGCCTTGGCTGGACAGTAGCAGGCTGAGAAGGTGTGAGAGGCCTAGCTACAGAAGAGTTCTGTTTGGGGACGTATGACCCTGTAGAGAGACGCCAGAGAATTACCTTTAAAAGGACCATTTAAAGTGTTCGTGTGATAAGTGATTGATTTATAGTTTCAACAATACGTTAGTGAAGTGTGACAGCTCCCTCCAGGGCCCGTGCCGCAGACGCGTTTGAACCGTGTGTGCCCCTGCTCCTGTCGGAGACCCTGACCTTGTTTTCCAGCCAGCAGAAGGCCAAAGGTCTCTGAACTTCTCAGCAGATAGTTCACTCTGCATTATTACAGAGTGAGGATGATCATTTCTATTTTCTGTGTCTGGTACTTCTCCCAGTTTGTGGCTACTGAAAAGATCAAATTGTGACTTTTGAAACATTGGGAAAATCTGTTAGGGTTCTGGAAGCAGCATCAGCATCGTGGACGCAGACCTTTGTATTCATGGGTTTATTTGTTTGTTTTAGGAAATCATGACCAGATCTGAAATGGCTGAAAAAATGTTCTCCTCAGAAAAAATAATGTGATTGGAAGCCTAGCAGCGAAGCCTGGCTGCCGGTGAAGGGGCGTCTCGGGCGGGGCGAGAGCCCTGGGCGGACAGCACACACGCTGCCGCGGGGTCCTCTTGGGAATCTGCGTGGGGAAGTGGAGAGTTCAGGTGGGGGGGCCCTGCACCCCTCTTCAAGCCGACTTCTTGTGCAGTAAACTGTCTGGATTCGAGAAGACTGAGAACAGCGCTGTGACAAAGCTGTCTGCACGCATGCCTTTAGCTGACGGGCAGGCACGTGGGTAGCGGTCCCTGTGCTTTTCTCTGGAAACTATGACAATTCCAGATTTTACAGAATGTGTCCGGACCCCGCCCCCTTTTCTTCTTCCACACCTTGGCCACAGAGCATGCGGTTCTTCTGAGGTGCTGCGTTCAGTGTCTCCGGCTCTGGGGTCTCTAGTTGCCAGATGCAGTGATGATGTTCTGGACTTTTTACACTGATGAAGCATCGGAACACAGGCATGTTTATATATTTAATTTTACCTTTTTTTTTTTTTTTTTGGTATGCACAAAGCCCTTGTTTGTGAATATCAACATGTGCATCCAGCTGTGGAGTTAGTTCTTCTCTGAGCTCAGGGGAACAAAAGTGCACAGGGAGAGAAGTCTTGAGGGTCACTTCCAAAGATGTGTTCTCCGTTCCCCACTGTCCCCTCCCTCAGGCCGTGTGCACAAGTGCTGCTGCTGATCCTGCTGGGGGCCGGTGGAGGGGCTGGGCCACCTGGCTCCCCCAGCGCTCCTGCCCAGCCAGCCGGGAGAGTTGGTGGTACCAGTGACTCTTGTGGGAACTAGAACTGTATCTTTTACATAATCTTGGCCTATTCTGTTTCATAATAAAAATATATATTTAACTGCAAAGTACATCACGGTTAATTTTGTAATTGATTTCTCAACCTGCAACCATATTTTATACCTTATTTTGTTATATTGTATATTTGTATTGTATGATTTGAAATTATTTGTTTGAATATGTTTTAAAACTGTAGAACAACCTAAACTTGAAAGGCAGTTGAATGTATTATGTTGAAAATGTGAATGTTTTACCGCTTTCATGACCAAAGACACAGGACTGGTGGACATTTAGAACAGGAATGAATGTTGGAATCTTGGCTTCTTGTCTTTGAAGGAGTTCTAACCTTGTGAATTGAGAATGACTTCAGAGAATTTCGATGGAGAAAACATTAAAATCCTCACCAGTACAAACACTTAAATATAACCTCTAACTTTTTTCACTGTGAAGCCACAAAATATTTTTTCAAAAGCTTACTTCTTAAAATGTATGTATTTTTATTTGAAAGAGAGAGAGATTATGAGACACACAGAGAGACAGCTCACCTACTGGGTCACAACCCCAAATGCCTGTAACAGCCTGGGCCAAGCTGAAGCCAGGGTCTCCTGGGTGGCAGGGACCCGAATACTGGAGCCAGCCCTTTCTGCCTCCCAGGGTGCGCACTAGCAGGAAGGTGGGACTGGGCATGGAGCCAGGACTTGAACCCAGGCTCTCCAGCATAGGACACAGGCAGCCCAAGCACCAAACGCCATGCCTGACTTCATTTCTTAAATTGTTTACTTATTTGAGGGATTCATAAAGACTTATCGCCGGTAATAATGTCTCTGAAAGATATCTGCAGATGTGTTTTCCGTAGTGAATGTTTGGAAAGTAGGCAGCATAGACAACTGCTGGGAACGTCATGGTGTTCAGTGTCGTTGCTTGGGGACGTTCTCCTTCACAGGAAGAGAGTGATTTCACAGTGGTGGATTCCGTTTGCGTACGCAGTGGGCTCCCACCCACGCCCTGCCCCAGCCTGTGTGTCCTGCCCGGCTTGGCTTGTGTTCCGCTTCAGCTCGGGCGTTAGAGCTGGAGTGACATCTGCCTTCTTCCCAACATTTATATCCAGTCTCTCTCCCCCTCCCCGGTTTTGTGGGATGTTGACACTGCCCCCACTCCCCGGGCCAACTCTTCAACGGCTTTAGTTGACTTTTGAGAAAAAAGTTCTGGGCTTGCAGCCAGCAGGAGCTGTAATTTATTAGGGAATTGTTAAGTCAGTATGAAAATGGCCTTTGACACCACCTCAGTAGTGTAATTTTTTTTTTTTTTTTGGACAGGCAGAGTGGACAGTGAGAGAGAGAGACAGAGACAGAGAGAAAGGTCTTCCTTTGCCGTTGGTTCACCCCCCAACGGCCGCCGTGGCAGGCGCACTGCGCTGATCCGATGGCAGGAGCCAGGTGCTTCTCCTGGTCTCCCATGGGGTGCAGGGCCCAAGTACTTGGGCCATCCTCCACTGCACTCCCTGGCCACAGCAGAGAGCTGGCCTGGAAGAGGGTCAACTGGGACAGAATCCAGCACCCCGACCGGGACTAGAACCCGGTGTGCCGGCGCCGCAAGGCGGAGGATTAGCCTAGTGAGCCGCGGCGCCGGCCCCTCAGTAGTGTTATAAAAACGCTTCTTCCTTCCACTGGAAAGATAAATGAAGCTACCTGCCGCGGCCCAGCTGCCCCTAGACAAAGCAGGAATCACTCCTAACCACCTCGTGGGCGATGTCTGGAGGCGCACGGGCAGTGTTTCCTTCGTCAGCACCGTCGGTGGTGGATGGCTTGACTGGAGGGTTCCGGTGCTGGGCTTTCTCACCCCCCTCCCCCGCAGGAATGGCTGGAGGACGCTGGGGAGAGGTTGCAGTTCCCCGTTGTTGCTTCAGCAGGGAGTCCTGAGGCTGGCCTCGTGGCCCTGGGGGCACTCCGATCTTACTTTTTCAGATCCCCTCAGGATGGCATCCCTGCTAATGAAGTGCTCCGCAAAACGCTGTAGAGCGCTTGTTACGCAATTCAGGTTAGACTTCTGTGCAGTTTGCCTAAAAGGGAATGAGTTGAGTTAGATTCTAGTATTTAAATACCTGCTTTCAAGGATAGTTTATTTCAAACATAAGGGGGAAAAATAGGTGAATATGTGAATTTTTTTAAGCCTGAGAGATCAGATCTAAATAGTTATTTTGCATCTGTTCATGAGAATACAACCTTTCCCCCTAGTATCACATACCGTTTGCACTATCACAGTGTCAAGACTTAAAGTGTAAAAGTGTACACTTAGGGTAGATGCTGACATCATTTTTTTAAACGAAAGATTGAGTCTGTTCCAGTAGGTTAGATATGAATAAAGTTGGCTGATGTTATGCTTCATTTATAAATCACTAGTTCTGGGACTTGTGTCTTTGTGTGATCAATAGCATCCAATAAGCAATACAAAACACCAAGCCTATAAGAAATCTAACATTGGTGAAGTTCTGAAGATATTGAATGTATTGAAGTAACGTAACCATAAATTTTGAAGGAGATGTGTATTATAAAAAAGGTTAATACTGCATTAAGAAACATTTAGAACTAGGAAAACATTTGTTTATTTGAGAATAGTTTAAAATATTTTTTATTTAAAATTAACTTGGGAGAATGTAGGAAATACAGTTTGAAGGATTTTTGTTTGAAAAAATGATGTACTTTTGTGCCTTAACATTTGTTCTTTTAATAAAATGCTTTGATGTTTTGGGTGATTGATTTCTATAGGTTGACTTATTTATTTTGAAAGCATTACAGAGAGAGGGAGAGACAGTTTGTTTTTTTTTTTTTTAAGATCTGTTTATTTGAAAGGCAGAGTTACAGAGAGGCAGAGGTAGAAAGAGAGAAAGGTCTTCCATCTGATGGTTCACTCTCCAGATGGCCGCAATGGCCAGAGCTACGCTGATCCGAAGCCAGCAGCCAGGAGCCTCCTCTGGGTCTCCCATGAGGGTGAAGGGGTCCAAGGACTTGAGCCATCTTCTGCTTTCCTGGGCCATAGCAGAGAGCTGGATCGGAAGTGCAGCAGCCAGGACTCGAACCAGCACTCATATGGGATGCCGGCACTGCAGGCAGCAGCTTTACCTGCTATACCACAGTGCCAGCCCCGAGACAGATCTTCCATCTACTAGTTCATTCCACAGGTGGCTACAACCGTCAGCACTGGGCCAGGCAAAGCCAGGAGCTTCATCTGGGTCTCCCACATGAGTGGCCAGGGCCCAAACACTTGGGCTGCTTTTCCGAGGCCATTAACAGGGAGCTGGATCAGAAGTGGAGCAGCCAAGACCAAACCAGCGCCTGTATGGGATGTCAGTGCCATAGGTTATGGCAGAACCAGCTAGGCCACAATGCCAGTCCCATGGGTGATTGATTCTTGATAATGTCTTAGTACTAAATTACAGAAATCTAGAGGAAATGTAAACTCCTATGGATGGTAGACCAAAAAGTTCTTAAAGAGGAGACACAGTTAAACATGGGAAAATGTTCAGTCTTCATAGTGATAAAAGTGCAAAAGAAAAGATAGAATTTTTACATTGAACGGACCTAAGTTTGTTTTGTTACATCTTTGTAAAATCCCTTTGCTTTCAAAATCTGAGCACACAATAATGATGGTAATGTAATTGATTCAGCCTTCAGCAGTATGCTACCTTCGAAAAATGTCTGAAATATGGCTTACTACCCAGCGGCCCTATGGGATGCTGTGCACCGTGAAGTTGTTCTGGATTTGTGAAAATACAGAAAAATGCAAGTGTGATGCAGAGGCCTTTATGTGAACTCTCGTCTATAAAAACAAAGTCGAGGAAGAACTGGTTAGATGTGCACTCAACTGGCCCAAGGCTGGTGGTGCGGGTCAGCCACGCGGGGGTCACAGCTTGATTTCGCCCCTTGAGAAGGTTCTTCCATCACGGAGCAGTTCTGCGGTGGGTGCAGAGGTAGGGACGCTGTCTGTGTCCAGCGAGCAGAGGGACAGGGCAGCCTGGGAGGTTGGAAGGGCTACCCCTGCAGTGGGGAGCGTACTCCATTGACAACACTTGGTCACGAGGCCACGTCAGCTGCCAACGAGGCTGCAAGTGTCAGTAGTTGTGCCTGCTTGCTATTCTAGTTCTGTGTAGGGAAGGCGGATCTGGGTGAACAACTGTGGGCAATGGGCTATGGGAGACTTAGAACTAATCTCCTACCTTTTGTATTTTCCACGGTAAACATACTGAAAAGTTGGTAAGGACTGACCGTGCCTGAACCAGCCTACAGGACAACAGAAGCGTTTCCATTCGGAAACAGGTCATGGCGTAATCCGTCCTGCCCTAAGTAGGTGGAATACGCAGTTTCCTTCAGGGACCTCTTCCCAGTCTTAGAAGTGGGAGCAGGGACGAGTTGCAGGGGTCCAGAGTCCTAGCGTGGTGACAAGTTAGGGGGTGTCGGCAGCCCCTGCACAGCACCAGGCTTTGTTCACCACCGGGTTCCTCTACGAAAATAGAGATGGTGAGCCTGTGGCCAGAGCTCCGCCTCCCGCAGGGGACGCATCCTGGAAGATCCGCCTCGGAGTCCTGGAGAGAGCAGAGTTGTGTTCACCCAGTCTGAGTCTCCTTATTAGAGGGTTCAGTTAATGCATGAAAGGTCCTGGGGCACAGGCCCTCACGAGACCCGGCGGCCAAGGTGACTGTGACTCAGTGGTCTTAGGTGCTGCCGGGACTCGGCAGAGACCAAGTCCCTCGGAATTCAAACACGTTCTGAGATCGAGGTACTCAGGCTAAGAGGAGGTTGCCTGGGACAAGCTCCCCTTGGGTGACAGTGCATTTACAGCTGTGTTCTTGCTCACATAGGCTGACCTGATACGCAATTCAGAGCTAGGGCCAGCGCCGCAGTTCACTAAGCTTATCATCTGCCTGCGGCGCCGGCACCCGGTTGGGATGCACGAGTCTGTCCCGGTTACTCCTCTTCCAGGCCAGCTCTCTGCTGTGGCCCGGGAGTGCAGTGGAGGATGGCCCAAGTCCTTGGGCCCCTGCACCCACGTGGGAGACCGGGAGGAGGCACCTGGCTCCTGGCTTTGGATCGGCGCAGTGCGCCAGCCGTAGTAGCCATTTGGGGGGTGAACCAACAGAAAAGGAAGACCTTTCTCTCTGTCTCTCTCTCACTGTCTAACTCTGCCTGTCAAAAAAAAAAAAAAAAAAAAAGGAATTCAGAGCTAGGTCATTTTGACAATCTTTCCTTAGTCGTAGAGATTTAAAAGCTGTCCAGCAGAGGGGGCCAAAGTAATGCCTCTGGAGCCTTCGCAATGTTTTTGTATCAAATTCTTGCCTTTAAAAAATTAATAAATTTACTTATCAAATGTCATTAAATAAATTTGTGGATAAAAATATTAACATTTCAGAAAAACATTAAAGACAGCACGGGAGGATTCTCCTGCAGGTCAAAACCCGAGACACACTTGATGTGTCTCAGCCACGCTGCAGCGTCATTTCATGTCACTTTTTTTTTTTAAAGATGTATTTATTTATTTGAAAGAGTTACTCAGAGAGAGAAGGAGAGGCAGATAAAGAGAGGTCTTCCATCCACTGGTTCACTCCCCAACTGGCAGCAACAGCTGGAGCTGAGCTGATCCGAAGCCAGGAGCCAGGACCTTCTTCCTGGTCTCCCATGTGGGTGCAGGGGCCCAAGCACTTGGGCCATTCCACTGCCTTCCCAGGCCATAACAGAGAGCTGGATTGGAAGTGGAGCAGCCGGGACTTGAACTGGCACCCATATGGGATGCTGGCACTTCAGGCAGTAGCTTTACCAGCTACGCCACAGCGCCGGCCCCATGTCACTTTGTTTTTTTTTTAAAGTTATTTACTTGAAAGGCAGAGTTGCGGAGAGAGCAAGCTCTTCCATCCGCTGTTTCACTCCTCAAAACGGCTGCCCTGCCAGGGTGGGACCAGGCCAAGGCCAGGAGCCGGGAGCTTCATCTGGGTCTCCCACGTGGGTGGCAGGGGCCCAAGGACTTGCTCTGCTTCTCTCCCTAGGAGCATTAGCAGGGATCAGGATGGGAAGTGGAACAGCTGGGACCCGAACTGGCACTCATGCGGGATGCCAGTATCTCAAGCATCAACCTCTGTGCCACAACACCAGCCCCTCATATCACTTCATTGTCTTTCCTCTCAGCCTTCAAATTCTTGTCTCTGCATAAATGGGATGGTTCTGATTCTCTGTGTCCCCACCACATACACCAGCACCCCAGCACAGACTTCAAAGATAAGGGTTTAAGGAAATCCGTCCAGTAATTGACTGATACTAGATAACTGGGCAGAGACTTCAGTAGCCACATTTACATAGAATGCGGACTTTACAGAGTAGGTTCAGAGAAGCCACTAAGCAAACAACTACTACAACAAGCTGCAGCTACAAACCTGGGGCAGGGGAAGACCCTGACTTCCAGATTTAAAGATGTATTATTTGAACAGCAGAGTTACAGAAAGGGAGAGACAGAGAGATCTTCCACCTGCTAGTTCACTCCCCAAATGTCCACAATGCTCGGGGCTGGGCCAGACTGAAACCAGGAGCCAGGAGCTTCATCCAGGCCTCCCACATGGGTGGCAGGGGCCCAAGGACTTGGGCCATCTTCCAGTACTTTTCCAGGTGCATTAGCAGGGAGCTGGATTGGAAGTGGAGCAACCAGGGCTTGACCAGCACCCATATGGGATGCCAGCGTTGCAGGTAACAGTTTAACCTGCTATGCCACAATTCCAGCCCCCACACTGTCCAATTCAAACTGTCCAATCTTCTCAAAAAAATTATGACACAAACAAGGGAACAAGAAAGTATAGTCTGCACACAAGCTTGGGAGGAGGTTTGATAATAATAATAATAAAATGTTCCTAGGAAAGATGTTAGCCTAACAACAACAACAACAAAAACCTTTAAGCTATTTTAAATATCTTGGACAAGATAAAGAAACCATGTCTAAAGCAGTAAGGTGTGGGGTCCGATGCTGTGGTGCAGCAGGCTAACACTCTGACCTCAAGAGCCGGCACCCGATATGGGCGCCGGTTCTAGTCCCGGCTACTCCACTTCTAATCCAGCTCTCTGCTATGGCCTGGGATAGCAATAGAAGGTGGCCCAAGTCTTTGGGCCCCTGCACCCATGTGGGAGACCTGGAAGAAGCTCCTGGCTCTTGCCTTTGGATCGGCGCAGCTCTGGCCGTTGCGGCCATCTGGGGAGTGAACCAGGGGATGGGAGACCTCTCTCTCTCTGTCTCTACCTCTCTCTGTAACTCTGTCCTTCAAATAAATAAAATAGATCTTTAAAAAACAAAAAAGTAAGGTATGGGGGCCAGCGCTCTAGCATTGTGGGTAAAGCCACCGCCTGCAGTGCTGGCATCCCATATGGGCACAGGTTCAAGTCCCAGCTGCTCCACTTCTGGTCCAGCTCTCTGCTATGGCCTGGGAAATCAATAGAAGATGGCCCAAGTTCTTGGGCCCCTGCACCCACATGGGAGCCCCAGAAGAAGGTCCTGGCTCCTGGCTTCAGATCAGCCCAGCTCTAGCTGTTGCAGCCATCTGGGAGTGAACCAGCAGATGAAAGACCTCTCTCTCTCTCTGTCTCTCTCTCTTTCTCTTCTCTCTCTCTCTCTCTGCCTCTCTGTAACTCTGCCTTTTAAATAAAATAAATATTTTTTTAAAAAGGAAGTAAGGTATGAGAATGATGTCTCATCAAATAGGTAATAACAGTATAAGATAACTGT